AAACGGTAGTTCAGATTATCCACCCTTTCTGGAGTCCGTGAAGGGGGTTCTGGAAAGTGCACCTTCTGGGGACTCCCTTGTTCTGCTGGGGGACTTCAATGCTCATGTGGGCAATGACAGTGAGACCTGGAGGGGTGTGGTTGGGAGGAACGGCCCCCCTGATCAAGCTTTTATTTAATATAGATAATTATGGCTTACATCCATCCATCCATTATTTTGACCCGTTTCTTCCTTTTTGGGTCACGGGGTCACTGGTGCCCATATTTAGCAGACACCCAGGGACACCCTGGATAGGCTGCAAGTCCATCACAGGGACAGAGACAAACAACCATTAACTCTCTCACTCACACCTAGGGACAATTTAGTGTTACCAGTCAGCCTAACATGCATGTTTTTGGTCTGTGGGAGGAAACCAGAGTACATGGAGAAAACCCACGCATGCACAGAGAGAACATGCAAACTCCACCCAGAGAGGCCCCAGCCGGGATTCGATCTGGCAACCTTCTTGCTGAGAGGTAGCAGCTCTACCAACTGAGCAATGAGAAATTATTTTAGTCATAAGGTTATGTCTAACTGACATGACGCCATCTGTCAAACAATCCAGTAGACTCGTCAGCAACTGACCAATCGGCGATCGCAATTTGTCATGAAGTGAAACACCCCTTACCTCTTTTACCTCCAACAATGCCATCGGGATTTTGCATTACGAACGCTTTGCAGTCATAGGGATTTTGTGATAAATCATCTTTAAAAATTGTGAAATGTTGTCACTGCAGTGTCACATGCAATTCAGACATGTTACCCTGAGCGTTTAGAAGGTGGGCAGTTAATTCCATTTCCAAATCCTCAACGGAGTCTGGAAAAATGTAAAAGATGGATAAAGGTCGGTGGGCAACCTCACCAGCAGCTGAATACAACACACACAAATGGGAACTGCCACATGTTCATCTGTATGACGGTAATTGCAAGTAAATCCTCCATTTTTGTCATCATTGTATGCTCAATGGTTAATTTAAAGGTTATTGCTAAAAGCTAGTTGTGCTTTGTTTTGTGTGCTTTGTGGGTAGATATATGTTGCAACTTCTGGTTGCATAACTTTAGTCTTTGTTTGCTATGATCAGTAAACACTAAACCAATTTTGCACAAAGCATTTTCTAGGTTGTGTAATGTAAAATTTACACTCTTGCATACTGAATTTCACTGTAGGGCAAAAATGCATCATAAAATGCCTCAGGTAACTCTGAGAGTTTCACTAACTCTGCCATTACAGCTGTCTTGTTTGTTTGTTGGTCGGTGGTTAGCTCTGGTACATTTCCACGTGGGCGGAGCGATCTTACCGTTCTTCTCATATCAATTGATATAGAGCGTTTCTCACATGTAATGCACCAGGACCTTTAGTTTTATTTTAAAGTGTGGTGCTTATCACCTCACAGCAGACTGAACAGGAAATATGGGAACTAAACAAAATATAATGATTTGTAGTTACTGGTAGTTTGTTTTAGTGTTCCGTTTTAAATGAATTATTCTTTAATTTTCTTTTTTTGTTTGGTTTTGTACATTTTATCCTTAATTATTCTGGTAGTGTATTACCGTTCAATGTCTATTTATTTCTGCTTTTAGCACCAAACTCACTTGTCCCTTGTACATTCAGTAAACCTGGCGTCACTAACTACCCACCCCAGTGGTTTCATTCAAATGACTTGTTCATTTCCTTCTATGCTTTTGCTGGTTTTCTGTTTCCTTTCCATCCATCCATCCATCCATCCATCCATCCATCCATCCATCCATCCATCCATCCATCCATCCATCCATCCATCCATCCATCCATACATCCATCCATCCATCCATCCATCCATCCATCCATCCATCCATCCATCCATTAAATTTACCCACTTCTTCCTTTTCGGGTCACAGGGGTCACTGGTGCCCATTTCCAGCTATCACTATGTAAGAGGCAGGGGACACCCTGGACAGGTCTTCAGTCCATCACAGTGCCACAAAGACAAACAAGACAAACAACCATTCATTCTCTCACTCACACCTAGGAACAATTTAGAGTTACCAATTAGTCTAACATGCATGTTTTTGGTCCGTGAGAGGAAACCTGAGAGTTCTTGGAGCAAACCCACACATTCATGGAGAGAACATACAAACTCCACCCAGAAAGATCCCTGGCTGGGATTTGATCCGGCAAACTTCTCGCTGAGACGCGGCAGCTCTACCAACTGAGCCACCGTTTTCTTTACAACACCTGGCAAAAATTATGGAATCACTGCTCATGGAAGATGTTCTTTCTTTCAACTACAGGTATTTAATTTTGTACGAATAAATCCCATACATGCCATAAAAACACACTTTTTCCAAAATCCCAACCTTCTGCCATTAAAAAAACTATAATAACACAGGAAACATGATTATTGTTTGTGTCAGTCACAATTGCTTTTTTTAAATCAGAGGGAATAATTTGAAATCACTCAGATTTGAGGAACAAATAATGGAACCATGAGAAAAACTTTGCCTCATTAGTATTTTGTTGCACCACCTCTGGCTTTTATAACAGCTGGAAATCTCTGAGGCATGGACCCAATGTGTGACCCATTATTCTTCATCAGTCTGGTTCCTTATTGCTGTTGCCAGATTAGCAAATAGATTTTGTCAGTAATAATTTTTGTCAGGGGCTGTAATCCTGATATTCAACATTTTTGCAACGATTTGAAACTTACCTTCTTTATGACTACATTTGGCTCCTTACAAAAATCATGAGGTATTTTTTTTAATCTTGCTAAATCCTTCCAGCTCCTTTAACTTAAATTTATTGAAATGTCTGTTGAAGACATTATAAAACAGATACATAATTAAAACATCCCAAACAGAAGATGAAAACAAGACAATCTCAATAAAAATGTGAGCTGTTCTTCGGTGGTTTCTACAGTTAATTGTTAAAATGTACCATCATGCAACCTGCATCCTGTTCTGCCTCCGTAAATTCCTTTGGTTCAGGTAAATCCATCCGTTATCTTTTACCTGCTTCTTCCTTTTTGGAGCACAGGAGTCACTGGTGCCCATATTCAGCCATCACTGTGGGAGGGACGGGGGACAGGTTGCAAGTCTAACTTAAATTATAGCTATTGTCTGATTGTCTACGTATCTGTGAGTTTTTACTCTGATACTCTTTTTTATAATTTGCTGTTTTTACTTTTTGGGGTTGAAATCCTATTAGAAAGCTAAAGCAAGAGGAAAAAGCTTAAGAATCACCAAAAATAAGCATCATTTAACCGTACTGAAGCTGAGATGTAAACACTGATTTCCATCTAGAAGAAGTAACCAGCAGTAACCATGGCACAGTCAAAAACCATTAAGTGTAATACACCCAATTTGGAAATGTACATTTGCAGTTTTATTTCTAACAGTAAAGGTGCCATTCTGATGTATTTAAGCTGGGTTCAGTGTGTTGTATCACCCCATGCAGCTACCTGCAAAATGTGCTGTCAGTGTCTCATTACGTGACGGAAGCTTTCGGTGCCTTCAGGCAAGAAGACTCAATCTCTCCACCTCTTTTCCTCTGTGAGTCTCCAACTCAGAGGCATCTGCCTCATTAACCACCATCAGCATTTTGTTTGCTGTGTGTTATTTGGATGTACTAGAAAGGAGGCAAGGGTCTGTAAATGTGTGTGTGTGTGCATTCACTTGTGTGTAAGCAGACAACACTCATTAGGCTAAAAAAAAACAACATTGACATTGTTGCCAGAAACCAGATCATATCTTTTCTCACTTTATAAATCAAAGGATTCCTCCAATCAACTCCCTGGAGTGTGTGTGTTGTGTGTTTGTGTATACAGTGTGCATGTGTCTGCGTGTGGGAGACAGATGTTTGCTGATTCGACAGGTTTGCACTGCAAACTCAGCCTAATTTAGCTGACAAAAACTGTGAAGCCACACAGACGCTCGTGATGACAGCCCACTCCAAGTTTCCCTGCCTTTTAATTCAGACTCTCTTCATTTTTTTTCCTTCCCTCCTGCTCTTCGTCCCATCTTTCTTTCCGTTGCCTCTGTTCTCCCCTTCACAAACACTCATCCCCATGTGCCATTCCACCAGCAGCGTTTCAGCGGGGTGTTCTTCCATGATTTGTTTTCCTCGTTAAAGAAACCTCTCAGTCTCAGCTCTCACAGAGGACACTGTCTTGTGCCACAATTAAAAGCGCAAATCAATTTAAATGTTTTGGGCATTTTACATTGCGCGCTTTACACACGACGTGGCGCAGAACGTTGGTTTGAATACAGAAGAAAAGAACACCCATCGATGAGTTTGGCATTTATTGCAACGCAATATGGCACTCATTACAATCCCTCCTCAGAGTTTCTATTTTACAATGTACAAACTTGATAAAAAAGACCATAAATAAACAAAAAGCTTCAGGTAGCTAATTTTCCGCATCAAACAAGAGACGTATGTACAGACACAGATGGGTGACGTTCTAGATCTAAACATCTAAGTCAACAGAAACAATAATCCATACAATCTGAAATAAAAACAGAATAGTAAAAATACAATCAGATCATACTGTTTGTTAACATAACCCTCCTTTATGATAGCAGTAGGAGACTAAAATGATACATTCTGTCCGGGTCCTCCTACTATCTCTTTACATTTGCATATTAAGATTACCTAAAGATAGCTTCACACTGAATGCACTCATGCACACACACACCCTTACAAGCACTCTCTTACGCACATTAACATCAGGGAAAAAACAAACAAATTTAATTCAAGTGAAGCGCAACCTAAAATAAGTTGGAAGCCATTCTGCTTATGCACATGTCAGCCTTCACCAAACAGATAAGAAAAAAGAGGAAAAAACTGCTGGAGAAGGAGAACAAGGCTTCAGTTTTAGCTCCTGGAAAGTGTTTCTGTGGCCATGTCCCCATCATGGTTTATAGAAAACTCCACAGGACGCAAGTCCAGAAAAGGTCTGCTTTTATTTTCTCCTCTCTTCTTCTGTATTTGTGTCCTCCTTCAAAACTCGCTGAATTTCCACTGGTAAACGATTCTTCTAAAGTGCACAGATGAGGTAAATGAAAATCTTCTAAAAAAAATAAAAAATAAGAACAGGTTTGTACCTGTACGCCATCTCAGACAGGAACCATAGAGTGTTGCATGTGTTGCATCTGAGACAACATTTCTTGCTGCACACTAGCAAATAGTAAGTCCTGATGTGATGGGACAATTATTCCAAGTCTGTCCATCTCCCTGTGGGTGCACAAACACATGTGATCAGACACAGTTTGGGAACATCAGGATTTTTTTTTACATTTTCATCCAGTTTCAGGAAACTTACAAACTTTTATCCAAGTGTCTAGTATTCATCAAAATGACCTGAGAACGTAGCAAGTTCATATATACTGTAGTAGCCCCTTGTTACTTCGCGGTTCGACTTTCGTGGACTCGCTCAAACGGGGTTTTTCACAGTAAGATTGAACACGAGAAAAAAATTTGTTCACGACACATGATTGTCAACTTTAATATTACTACGTGATTGATACAGTATGGGATAATGTACAGTAAAAAGTTAACAAAAGAATAAAATACTTTAGACAGGCACTGACATTTTGTAGTTTTCGCGCAATAAGCCTATACTGTATCCCAGCTCTTAATGACTACATTTCCCAGAAGGCAACAGGGCCCCTCCTAGAAGCCCTGTTGCCTTCTGCTGAAATAGAGTACAGGAGGGAAAGTTTTGATTTGATCAGAAAAAAGTTTGATGCTTATTATAGTGACTTTGGCACCCAGTGGATGCAGAGAGCTGCACGGAAGCACAGAACCAAAGCAGAACCGGACCTCCAGACCCATCGGTGAATCTTGAGAACAGGTAGCCAGCCCCCGAGCGGGACCTGCGCTGCTGAAGATCCGGCACTCTGGAGCCAACGGAGACTTTTTAAATCTCTTTCAAGATTTTTTTGTAAATTTTTCTTCATTGAATGTGTTAAACATTAATTTCCTTAATTATTGTAAATTTTACTTACCAGCACACCCCCTCCAAGCGGGGACACTCTGGTAAGTAAAATTTAGAAGCTACATATACAGTACTGTACGCATGTTGTTAACATGATGTAGGTTTGAGTTTAGAACATTGCAAGAATGTGGGAAGGGTTTTTAAAGCCTTAATATATATATATAAATAATAAAATAAATATAACATTGCTACTTCGCTGATTTTCACTTATTGTGGGGTCCAGAACGTAAGTCTCGCAATAAACGAGGGACTACTTTATTGTTCTGTATGTGTTTACAGTGGTTCATCAGGTACCTCGGAGGACAAGCATAAACCAGATTTTATTGACTGTGTAAACGTGACATGCACACAATGAATGTGCAATAATAAAAGTCCAACTAAAAATGGTGCCGAAACACTCAACATACAAAGAAAACTGTGAGTCAAACCACAAGGAAAAAAACAAAAGCAGTACGCCGATGTTCCCGATGAGGATTTGAATAGTGAATGTTTGTAGTTTTTAAGATGAGTGTTTTTCTGGACTGTAATTTAACAGGGATTGCAAGTAAACCTTAATGTCTTTGGTGCAAGATAATTAAGTGAGTAAGAGTTACACTGTGAAGAAGAATGCAATAAGTTTATTTTTATTTATTTGCTTGTGCAAGGCAGCGCAGAGTGACAGATCCTAGCAAGTGGATAGTGCAATTTTATCCACCACCAGGTGTAATGGTGGAGTCTGGGGTGGCCACTTGTGGCCTTGGCCATCATAGATTAATATTCTGCCACCCCAATCATTTGAGGAAACTATATTTTTAAGCAATATAAAAACTAGAACGCATAATTTCCTTAAATGAGCGGGGTGGCCAGTTTACATTTATGGTGGTGGCCATCTTGGATTTTAGCTTGACAAACCAATTTTTGATAGTGACATTTTTTACACATTGCAGCCACTCACCAAAACGGAAGTTGAATGTTGCTTTTTTCCCCAAGTTATCTCACTCATAACATGCACAGATGGACGGTTCCCCCCCTTCAGTCCACACAGGGGGGCAACAAAGGACATTTGTTTTGTATGAAAATGCTTTTTACTGTAATCCACATTTAGACAATAAAAATCTAATTTAATCTCTTCCTTTCATCTTTAAATAGACAGTTGACAAACCAGTTCACAGGCAGATGGGAAGGCCCCATAGCTGTACACACAGATCCAGACAAGCATGTTGAGTCTTTAAGAGGAGAGTAAAAGTGTTGCCAAATAACAGTAAAGTTGAAAAGGATATATGAAAAAAATAATACTGTGTGCTACTTATGCTTAACTTTAGCCAAAAAAAAAAAACCGTTTAATGTGAAATTTAATGGTAATATATAGTTAGTTTGCATCATCATGTGTTGATCAGGTTCTTTATTTGAATAAATGTGACTTGACCATATTTTGAAATTATTGTTCTAGTTAAGTAAAGTTTATTTAAACTTTTCACACCTATAAAACACAAAGTTCTTCAATAAAATACCACACCCCACCAAACAAATAAATAAATAAAACAGTAAAAAAAAAAAAAAAAAATAATAAAGCATTAAAAACATTATTAATTTAGGGCACAAAACCTAAATAAGTTTTCTTAAATAATTTTTTCCTCTTTTGTACCCTTTAATGTTTTATGTATGGATGACAAGAGGCTGCAAATTTAAAGGTAAAACGCTAAATTAAACACAATTTGCACAGCAGTATTTTTTTAAAATTTTTTACAATCAATCAAGATTTAACAATTTATAAGACAGTCTGCACCATCTTGGTATCGTAAATGAAGTGAGTATCTCTACACAAAAAGCTGCACTTACTGGTGTGTGAGCGTTAGCAGGCTGTCCAGACTGGTGTATCCTGCAGCTGCGAGGACGTCTCTGTACATCTCCAACCCAATGGACTGTAGCCAGTCACACACTGACCACTGCTGCACACACACCTCCGGTACAACTGAGACACACACCTCCGAACCCACCCTGGACTCCAACATTGTTCCTGCAGGTCTGCAACAGCAGGCAGTAGGATGACACCATAATTAAAGGGTGAAACATCACTATATAAACGGTAGTTGTGTGTAATTGTGTTTTATGATTTTCTACAGTGAGGTCTACGGATGTTTCTCACATGTGCTGTATGTACCTGTCCCCTCCTGTGCGGCGCAGCGTTCCAGGGTTACGGATGAGTTTATCCAACATGTTGAGTATCTGGCTGAAGGTGGGTCTCTCTGCTCGCTCCCTCTCCCAACAGTCCAGCATGAGCTGGTGCAGCACCACAGGACAGTCCATGGGAGCGGGCAGTCTGTAACCTTCTTCTATTGCTTTAATCACCTAAACGATGACAAATGAAGAAGTTACTTGTTTAACTGTTTCAATCAATCAATCAATCAATCAATTTTATTTATAAAGCACCCTTCATACTAAAAGCAGCTCAAAGTGCTGTACAGAATTATAAACAATAAACCCACAAAATAAATGCAAACAGCACACACAAAATAAAATTGTATGGAAAATGTATAGACTGAACAGAAATGAACCAGTTCAGGAAATACAGTTAAAAAGATGGGTCTTGAGCCTGCTCTTAAAAACAACAACATTTTCTGCGGCCCTCAGGTTCTCCGGCAGACTATTCCACAGACGGGGGCCATAGTACTGGAAAGAAGCCTCACCGTAAGTGTGAGTTCTGACTATTGGAACTTTTAGTAGTCCAGTGCCAGAGGACCTTAGTGTCCGCGGGGGTTCATAGGGTAATAGCAGCTCTGTTTGAATCCAATAACTTGATCTCCAAACATTTTATAACATGATTTAAAAAGTGCATTAGTGCAGAAACTGGATTATTTGTTAGTGCATTTGTCAGCAGGCCTCGAACGCTGGTTCCTTACGTTTACCTTTAACTTGACAGTACATTTGTGTATGGGAATAGCATAAACTTCCAAGTATGAATTTTGACCGTCTTGACTTATTTAAATGAGCTACTCTTTACCCTCTTGACACCCTGGCTTTTTACTGTCACTCTGCTGCCAGGGTTCTGGGTGCTATTTTTTAATAGTGCCTTTAAATTGCACAAACAGATTAATGCAGTTATGAAATCAAGTTTTTTTTTCTTCCAGTTAAGACTCATCACCAAGGTGAAGTCATTTCTCTTTACCAAAGACCTTGAGAAGGTGATTCATGCTTTTATTGCCTCTCGGTTGGACTCTTTAAATGCTTTGCATGCAAAATAAATCATCTCTACGTTGCTTACGAACTGCCCAGAATGCAGCAGCACCTTTAACAGGTACTGAAAAACATGAACACATAACCTCTTCTGGCTCTGTTCCCGGAGTGATTTTAAGATCTTACTGCTTCCTTTAAAGTTTTAAGAGGTTTGGCCCCATCATACTTATGTCATCTCCTTAACATCTCCAGTAAGAGCACTTTGATCAACCAACAACTCTTAGATGTTCCGAAATACGCACTAAGTGATGCAGTTGCTGCTCCAGATATGTAGAATAATTTTAAATGTGAGCTTAAGACACGTAGATCTTCTGTTTTAGGCAATCCAATCAGAGCTGGTTTATGGCGTGTTTTTGTAATGTATTGTAGTTTTATTTGTTCTTTTAGTATTGCTTTTCTTTGATCATTTTTATAGTTGTTACACATTTCTGTTTGGCTGAATAGTATAGTTTCATCAACCTTTGTACTATAGAAATTAACTGAAAATCACATTACTTTAATTTCTTTGCTGTGCACTATGAACGTAAAAAACCCCAGCTCTTTAGTTGCAAAAACGTTTAACTAAAAATGAAGCATTATACTGGAATAAATAGAACATGTTGTATACTTCACATATACATTAAATTACTGTATTCTGGGTATTTTTTAGAAAGTATATTTGCTGAAAAATACAAAAATATCACTTTTTAAAAAAAAATCAACGTCAGTTGACCCTTAATCACACAAGTACACACATAAAAAAACTGTTTTTTGATGCGTCTCAGTGAAATGTGTGCCTGGGTTTCACTAAGCAAAAGCCACTTTCACACAGGCATCACGCTACAATACCCCAAGGAGGACCCCAAGGAGGATCATTATGTTGCTGCTCCTTGTTAACAATGAAGGAAACAAACACAGCTCAATGGCTTCCCAGTGTGTGATTTTAGAGCGCATGCTAATGTTCTGAAATCTGAGGCTGATGAGGCGTGCCACGTTGACACACCTCGACTACCTCTCCCACAGTCAGACTGAAGAAGCTGCATAAGCTAGAGTACAACTAATAAACTGAATTAAAAGAGCAGGACTGCTCCTAAAACAGACAAAAAATGATGGAATTGAAATGGCTCACCAGGAGAACGTATCAGCTGGGTGGAATCACTAATGCTGACCATTTTCATCCACCATGGCATCTTTTGACCATCTCCAAACTGTTTATAAAGTTACATTTGTTCTTTAAAAGGAAAACTTCTCAGATTTCAGTAAAGAGACTTAAACACCACTAGATTAGTTAAAATATTGTCCAGAATCACCATATTTCCTTTTATTCCCTCCACAAAATATTAGATTAATGCAAACGTTCTTGGTTCATTGCCTTATCGAGAAGCAAAGTTAGTTTTATAAAACTTCAGCATTTAAGGTTACAGACCAGCATGCACTACCCCCTTGAATATACAAAACAATCCTGTACATTTGTTTAATTTATGCCATTATTTAAATTAATGCTGATGAGCAAGGCAGAGTACATTTTTATTTTCATGGATAAAATTGTCACGTTTTGTGCCCCTTCCTGCCACAGACTGTTTTCATGCCATGTTTATTTCCAAGTTCAACTCTGATCATGTCACCTTGCACCACGCCCACTCTGCCCTGTCAGAATAATCAGCTCTCATTATATTCACTTGCTCTTCACCCTTCTTACCCTGTCAACTCACATTCAGTGCCAGATTATCGAAAACTCTCAGCCAGTAGATGTCCAGTGTACTTTCCATAGCCTTGTATCCTTGCCTCGTTTTGACCCCTTGTCTGTTTCACAAATTCTTCACATTTCCTGCCACTCTTTAGATTTTGATTCTGCATTCTGACCACGGTACAGACTCTGCCTTCCTCCTCTACGACTACGCTTCACGGATCACGTCTTGGCTCTGGTTTATGCTCTCTGCCCTCCTGTGTATGACCCCTGCTTCGACAACTGGACTTCTTTTGGATTCAACCCTCACAGACCACGTACAGCACCTGTGTGCATTGCTGTTGCTGCTCACTCACCACAAGTGACGTCATCCTCATCAGCCTGACAACAGTGTGTCTCGCTCTGCAGACTGAGAAGGTTAGTGACAGCCACAGAGACTCACAGAACCTCCTCAGCCCAGACCTGTTCACTAACCTCTGTCTTAACAGATAGGATTCCTCCTTGGACCTGGACCTCCACCAGCAGCTGTTTTCTAATAAAATGTTTAAATCATTCCTGGTGTTTGGTGTTCTGTGCTGATCCAAAACCCAGGTCTTGTCAAAAATATTACAAAATTTTATTTAGAAGGAGTCCAGAGAAAGAACAATTTAAGGTGTATGAAGTTTGGGTAGAATCGTCATGTCTTTTTATACCAATGTGAACCAAAGTCAAATGTACAAGCATTATTTTGTCTGTAAGTTGAGAGAGAAGTGACTCACATCTTGGTTGTTCATGTCCCAATAAGGTCTTTCTCCATATGAAACCACCTCCCACATGACGATACCGTAGCTCCACACGTCACTGGCTGTGGTAAACTTCCTGTAGGCTATGGCCTCTGGAGCCGTCCATCTGATGGGGATTTTCCCTCCAGGGGAAAGATAGGAGCTGGTGGCCTCCTGAAACAGCAGCAGAATAGGTTTGTTGGGTACCTGAACTGATTTTGACCTTGACTTGTGACTGACCAGTTCAAGATTCAAATAATATTTGATTATGTTTCTAATCAGAATGCACAAAAGCTAAGCAGCAAACAAACAAAAGAAAAATTCCAAGAAAGCAGAAAATTTGTAGTACAATCAACATATTTCAAACTTTACATTTGCATCTCAGAATTGCTGTATGATGACTAAGGTAAAAAAAAAAAAAAAGGGAGCATGCCGCCTACATTTTAAATGCAAAACAGGGAATCGAGACAAGAGTTGGGCCCCTAATTATTGTTGCATTACATGTGCAACTGATTTACTTCATTGGCTTAATGAGAATAAAAAGTCTCTGCCAGTCTCAGTGGTGCAGAAGGAACCCAACAATGACTGTAGCAATTGATATTATTACATGGTTCTTCCAATTAAAACATTACTTCAAAGAAAGAAGAGGTAGACTGTGGCTTTATATAGAGCTATTTATAGTTTTAAATGTATCAGTAATCAAAACCATCTGAGAGAACTGTTTGCATCTTTGCATTTATCATTCCTAATAATTACACACTCCCAAAAAATAATTTTTGCACTTTACAAAATTCCACCAAAAGCGTAAAAAGTGTAAAAGTGTTTTCAATTAGTCACACGTCTTTGGCATCACCGAAGTGCGTGTGAACTACGGTGTGAAAACGGAACAGGACAGCTTGTAAATATTTGCATGATAAAGAATAATGAATTCTTGTATTTACTAAAAAACAAAGATAAGTTTGTTCATGTTCAGATCAGCTGGACTTCATGTACGTTTTCAAAAGAGGTGTAGGTGGGGTAGTAAATTTCTAGGGAGGTCATTGCTCCCCTGGCCCTCTTTTAGGTCGTTTTCACACCTGATAGTCCGGTAGACTCGGTTCGATTGGGGACCAAAATTCATAACATTTCACATTTTCAGCTGATGCCGTTCACATGTACACTGCAAGTCAACTGAGCCAACCTGTCCCCCCCACCCTCTCGCCTGTGGTGGCACTGCACCAAGAACTACTGAAGAAAATAACCCAAAACCTCTGAAGAAGACCCTGAGTTCAACTTACTTCTGGAAAGAAAAAAATGGAGTGGCGTCAAATTTTAGTGGTTTTAGGATTTAAAGTTTGTCTGTGGCTCATGTGCCAAACAAACATTTTTCAACAATGGACTCAGCATGAGCAGAAGATGAGGCAGAAAATCATGGTGAATGTTGTTTTTCACACAAGGCGGCTGAGACGGCACCGTATGAGGTAAGAGAAATGTGTGTTTGTTTTGTTGTATTTACCCAGAATGCCCTGCGCTCTAGTCCATTTCCTGCTTTTGGAGCGGTCTCCGGTCCGCTTGCATTCACAATGCATTCAAACTGCTCCTTCCTTAGATAGAGAACTTTACTAATTGGCTTTTATGCATGTGAATGTTTCTGTTCAGTGCCCTGAGACAACTTTGTTGTGATTTGGCGCTATATAAATAAACTGAATTGAATTGAATTGAATTGAATTTAACCAAACCGAAACCTAGGTAATTAGGCGGACCAGAGCTCGCTTTTTTTGGTCCGCATCAGATTTCGATTGCACATTCACACATCCACCCCCCAAAAATGGACTTTCTAGGCAAATGGACTAGAGTTTGAATACAACAGACTAAACAGGGCTGGTGTGAATGCACCCTTAGTGGCACCCCAAATTTAAAGTTTTCTTACCCTTGTTGTGTAGGCAGCCTCAGGATCGTCCTCCAGAATTCGACTCAGGCCGAAGTCCGACACCTTACACACCAGGTTGCTGTTGACCAGGATGTTGCGAGCGGCCAGGTCTCTGTGGACGTAGTTCATGTCTGCGAGGTACTTCATACCTGAGGCGATGCCACGCAGCGTGCCCACCAGCTGGATGACTGTGAACTGGCCGTCGTTTTTCTAAATTGTGAACATTACGGCAAAAAAGGGCAGGTTAACAAGAGCACCTACACCTAATGCAAACATGAATAATTGCATTCGACCTATTAAAGGGCAAATAAATCAGCTTTCAAAATATGCCACTGAGAAGTAGAATTGGGTTTGTTTAACAAAAGAAAACTCAAGTTTACTTACTCGAAGGAACGCATCCAGCGAACCATTTTCCATGTATTCTGTGATGATCATCAATGGCTTGCCTAAAGAGGGGAAATGATGAAAATTAGGATAAACCACACCTAACACGTTATTTTAAAAGCAGAACACAGGCAGTGCTCACATCTGGTGATGACACCCTCCAGCCTGATGATGTTGGGGTGGTCGAACTGTCCCATGATGGAGGCCTCGGATAAGAAGTCCCTCCTCTGTTTGTCAGAGTATCCCGCCTTCAGACTCTTGATGGCCACATAGATCTCCCTCTTTCCCTGCACACGCAGCCGTCCGCTGCACACTTCCCCAAACTCTCCTACACAATCCCGCACAGTGAACGTCAGCGCCAAGCGAGCATGTGTGTGTGTGTGGGTATGTGCGTGTTTGAGTGCCAAAGCCGACCCTACCTATGCCAATAACCTTCTCGATGTGAATACTGCTCACATCAATCTCTTTGGCAAACTCATGGATGGCCTGATCCGGGTCTTCGTAGGTGAACGGGTCCACGTAGATTTTGACTCCTGCCAGGGAAGAGAAGGTGGGAGTGGGCAGGAAGTGAAGGAGGAGAAGGCGGGATGAAGAGGAGGGTGAGGAAAAACAAATTGTATAACTGCATATGTTATGTAAGTGTTTTGAAAAAGTGTGTGAAGGAGGATCTGTTAGGAAAGAAAGAGCATCTATCTGTCTGTGTGTGCGTGCAGTACCTGGGTTCAGATGCTTCTCCTCCTCTGAGTCCTGCTTTGTTTTACTGTACTTGCTCCTCCTAATGAGACAAAATAACAGACTTTTAACACGGAAACAAAGACGACAAGCAGGACTGTCGGGATCCCTGCCACATTCCCCCTTCACTTCTCACATGTTTGTTAACAGTGTAACTACTGAGGAAAAAAAAAGTGTCACAGAATTCAATTGATTTTTGTACTTTTTCTGAGGGATTTTCCTCAGCTGCGTTTTTTTGATGGTTTTGCTGCAACAGAAGGCAATGACAATGAGAACAGAGAGCGACGGGCTGCAGGGAAGCTCAGAACGACCAGATGAAAGCATTTCAGGCAGAGGGGGGAGCAGGGGGATGCCTCAGGTAGAGAGAGATAAAAGGTGTTTTTTATTAAACAAAGAAACTGTCAAAACCACCTTTGTGTCTGAACAGGTGCGGGTGTGTGTGTGGCTGTGGGCAGTTGCGCGTGCGTGTGAGTGCGCACGCCAGCGGAAGCTGACACACAAGCCGAAGACATTAATGATGAATCAGGGACAAAGGGATTACCACTGTCTCCTTTCTGTTCCCCTTTAAATAGCTGCAGGTAACACAGCCCCACAAAACTGGTACAAATATATGTGCTGAGTGTGCGTATAGGTCAAAGATAGTGGTTTAGATAAACCTTGCAAACATTTAAATCAGACAAATCACAAGTTGTGAATGTGTGTGTGTATACCTGCGGCTGATGATGAAGACGGCTGCAGATATGAGCAGTAAAATTCCAACGGCGCTGACAGACAGCAGCAAAAAGGCAGAGTTAACACCTTCTCCAATCAAGGGGAAAGGATCTGATGAGCAAAAGACGAGGAGATTACCATCCATAAGATAATGCTGTGTTGCATTTGCCTGGAAAACAAAACTTCACTCCAGGAAGGATGTTGTGGTGAATTTATCTGGCGTCTATTTCCAGTCATTGTTGTGCATGGTGACAAGGATAACTACAGTTAGCTTTATTTAATGAAATGCCAATTAACAGAAGTGTTGGTGCAATCCATTTGCACTGAGAAGTGAACATTTTACAGTTCCAAATAAAAAAATAATAACTGAGACACTCCTTGACTTAGGCAGTTGCAAGTTTTTCAACAGGCAGCCACAATCTCAAACTCCAACATAGCTGTCTTGCACAAATAAAGAGTTAGCATTGCACATATTGTTCCATACTACCTCTATTAGCAAACATGCTGCTATGGTGTGAGAAAATAAAATGTTATCTGCTCAGATTGTTAGTCTGGTCAACTGACCTTTAGCAAATCCCACTAATTTTACATTGTTTGTAAAAAAAAAAAAAAAAAAAGTCTATCTTGTAAATGAGTCCCCGAGGCTCAATGGGATTAACCTGTATAAATAAAGGTTGAATGAATGAATGAATCTTACCACTGAAACACATTCTCAAATACAAGTTCCAAGTTATGAGTTGAATAAAATGCTGCGTGTGACTAAAAAAGGTGCATTAATGCAGACTGCCACTTTAATTCAGCCATGTTGGATCTTGAAGTTGTGGTTGGCAAGAAAACTTCAACTTTCCAAGTCAGAATTCAAACTTTGAAGAAGAGGTCTAGTTTATGTCTTTTACTTGCAAAGTTAAACAATTCTCACTTCAGAGGATGAATGAAATACATAAAAACCTCCAACTTTACAAGCTGGAATACCAACTTCATGCACTGTTCAACTAGATGTTTCTGAATAGGTTTATTATTTATGAGTAAAAATGAAACAAATCTTAAAGAGATAGTCTGGTCAACTTTGAAGTGATGTTTTGCCAAATAATTATCACAAGTCAGACTGTGACATCAGTCATAGAGCACAAAGCCATTAGCAAAAGTCCATGTCCAGGCTAACAGTTAGCCAAAGGAGGGCCTGTTTCTTTTTCAGTCCTTTAAAACAGGTCTTTCTTAAAGTTGACAAACAGCTGCGTAAGAAAGCTACATTAACTAATATTACACATCTGCGTTTTTACGTAGCAGCCTTTGTTTGGTTTGTCACAGTGGTGTAGTCTACATTTTTGTACTGGGTATTCTGTGCTTAGAAACTGAAGTACACTTGCTAGTACAATGCAATCATCAATTTATTTTGATTTTTAAGCATATTGAACATTTCAAAATTTCTCTGATGCTTATATTTGAGTATATGTACAACAAACTTTGTACAACAGTTGGTTTTGTATTAAAAACATGTTATAGAATTTATAAAACAGTATCAAAGCAAAAATGTTCAAGTACTAAGTAGTACAGAAGTATTACCTGTGCAAAAAAACAGGTTGAACCAACTCAATGTGTCTATAAAATGTTCCAGATGTGTTGACAATTACACTTTTTAAGTGGGTATACTGTAATTTCCAAGCTTTTCTAATGGGTATACGCCGTATAACCGCATATCACATAGATTACACCACTGGTTTGTTACTGTTAGCCATCAGCCAGCCTGGATGAAGCCTTTTGCCTCTTTCTCCATGACTGATAACTTTTGATAACGATTTGACAGAACATCACTTCAAAGTTGACTGAACTATTTCTTTAAGTGCTTTTACACGTGATCATTACAGTCCAGCTACCTGAGTTGGTGGAGAATTCAAACGGAGCACTGTACTCTCCGTACCCGGCAGCTGTGCGAGCACGCACATGAAACACGTAAACGGTGAGGGGGTTCAGACCCGTAACGTCAACACTCCGTAAAAAGGTTCTCATAATTCGGTAGGACCTCTCCTTCTGGTCCTGATTGAATGGAACAAAAAACAAACAAACAACTGTTAGCACCTGAAAGAAAGGCCACCTATCAAAAGAAACTAACAAACAAGCTAAAAACATATCAGCATCATAACATATTGATATCCACTCAGCTACCTGAGCTGCATTAACCTGCCAGCAGCTCACCTTTTCATAGAACTTGACCTCATATTCCAGGATGACCCCATTTGGTCGATCAGGCTGTCGCCAAGACAACGACAAACTGTGTCTAGTCACATCTGTGACTTGAATGGACGACACCGGGGAAGGAGCTGAGGAGTAGAAATGAAACAGTAACAATTTATGTGGGACGTAAAGGTCACGGATGTTTTTCACTTACTAATGTCAAATGTTATACTGTAGAAACACATGTGTGTGTTAGAGTGTGTGTGTTTTGTCTGAACAAAGTGGAGCCTGCAGGAGCACAGAGCCTGCACACCTGATAAACTTCAAGGCCCTAAGCTGGAAAGCAGCGTTGTCTTGACCTGGCCTTTTCTGATAAGCATATAAGTTCATGCTCCTTTATACTGTCCAAGAGCAGACCTTGAAGACGGAGCGGCATGTAACACCTTGTATGCTTGTCTTTTTAATTGCCTCTCCTCTTGCAAGATTAAACCTGGGTTCACAAGATCTTCTAGTTTTCCTTGCGTGACTTATTTATTTAATGAGTTGATGATAGAATAATTATCCAACAACTCTATACATTGGCCTGCTGTATTAGTCATAACGCTGTTAGTAAAATGAACGTTTTCCAGTCCAGAATAAAGTTTAAAGTGTTCATATTGTGCCTAGTTGTTCCCTTTGACCCAGTGCACCTGAGGAATGACCTACATCCTGTTCCCTCCTAATCCGTAGAGACAAGGCTCATTCTCTTTTTCTCCTCTTACATCTCTTCATTTTGTCTCAAATTCCCAGGATTTGTCCTCATTTGTGACTGCTTTTATGACATCGGACCATATGGTAGCACAGGCTGGACCTGACACAACCCAGGCAGGCTCTCATGGTGTACAGCAACTTATTTCCCCTGGGCACCATGAGCTAAGCAGGTGTGCTGGTACCTAAATGCCACCCTTAAGACTAAAAGCAATGACACTTGAGATGTAACAGCATGTGAAAACAGATGTCAAAAAAAGTACACACTAAAAACCAACAGGGTCTATGTGTGAGGAACGCCACACGTCAGCTGACTCCTTCACAAGTAAAATGAAACACTTCATAAAAAGTGAGTAATATTTTTAAATACTTTGGTGGTTAGGCTCAGAGAACAAGAAGAACTCCAAAGTTAGGAGCGCTGTCAAATCTCAACATTATGAGTTTCTATTATTCTGCATCTGACTGTTATGATTTTTTATTTTTTTTTAATTATCCTTTATATTGGTCCCGTCTACCATCTCAGTCTAATTGTATTGAAGTCAATGATTTACAGTTTTCAGAATACTTTGGCATCCTCTTGAGAGCAGCCCTATAATTAATTCAGCTGCTGTTAAGTGTAGGAGGACAGAGTAATAACTATGGCAACTACAACAGTGATAGTACGAGCTAAGTTATCAATGAGGAAAGGGCAAGAAGAGAGCAAATAAAAATCAAATGTACAGCGGGTATCACTGCAGAGGGAGTTTTTTCCTTCCCTACTGTCAGACCCTACGTTTTAGGCCAGTGGGCTTTGAATTAATTGTTTTTATCCATTTGTTTTCTGAGCCAGATTATTTTTAAATGATTTAGCGCTGTTGTAGAACTGGTGCCGCATACATGAAATGAAATAAATTAATCAACTGAACAGGTTAAACTTTTCCCGAACATTTTATTCTTCTTATCAAATCCATTTGATGATGATAGCTCAGATCCTTGCAGATGGGATTCTGTCGAATGCTTGTAAACAATTAATATCTTACCTGATGTGGATCGCTTCAAGAATCAAGAGTTTAATTCTGACTGGACAGAAAAGCTTATGGCTAGTCCAAGCAAAGAGACTGGAATGGACAACAACTCCTTAAATAATTATATATACAGCCATCGGTTTTAAAATACACTGGTATTTGTAAACAGTTCTTTGGTTTTTTACAAATACCAGTAGCAGCAACAGCAGCTAGCAGTAGCCCTTCTGGTAAAACTATGAGAGATATATACCAAAATAATTGTGTAATGCAAAAGTAAAAGTGGTGTAAAGGTTTATAAAATAAGATTTGTATAAATTGCTATTTATTACTTTTAAATTGCAATTGTTTTAAAATGATAAAAATCCACTGTAATCTCAGCCCCGCCCTTGAACTAGCCGTTAGCTCGTCAATCCAGTCAATTTTAAATTCTGTTTCTCCAAACTGACTTCATTTAAAGAGATATATGCAACAGGTAAGATTTTTTTTTTTTTATTCACAACAACATATTCAAAACCTTAGTCCAGAAGATTTTAACTAATTCCTTTGATTTTTTGTTTTTTGAAGAATAAAATTCCACTATAAACAAATGGTCTGTGTTAAAACAAACTCCAGTTAGTTTCGTCTTGGCAGATAATTATATCCATCATGCACACAGCCATCCAGAGCATGTGCATTTCATGGCACAACAGCTTTGTCCATTACTCGCGGGACCTTGGCCCTTTTGCAGCAGTATATAATCGGCTGACCCACTTTCAGGGCCCGTCCATAACCAGATGTGGTTTTGCTGCTCAATTTAACAATGTTACATATTTTTCACACATGACACTTCTCCTCACCTGCTTGGTTGGTGGTGACGCTAACAGACACACTCAGTGATGCCCCTGCGCCGCTGGCCTGAGAAACCCCGTTGAGTGCGTGGACAATAAAGGTGTAGTGCGTGTGGGCTCTGAGCTTGCTCACCACCACCCTGGTGGTGTGCAGGCCGATCTGGCCCGGAGAGAAGAGCACATCTGAGCTGCAGGGCAGGCAAAGCTGAGAGTTAGAGATGGAGTCAGAACCAGGCCAGGGGTAATCTCCAGTCCTGCTCTGGAGAACCCCTCTGCCTAATTGGACTTCAGGTCCCACAATCCCCTGGTCTGATTGCATTCCTATTCCACTGTGCTGAATCTCAGGCTGGGAAACAGAACGATTCCTCTGTAAAGTTCGACCGTCAGTCTGAGCGTGACTCCCGAGTTGACAGATGAGACACTCCAGACTGTAACTGGTGTCACTTCGTCCTCCCAGTCGACGAGGGGGGGCCCACTCCAAGACAACCGATGTCTCGTTCACAACAGAGATGAGTTGCTGCGGCGCTGATGGTGGCTCTGAGGATAAAGGGGGTAAATGTAAGCATAAACTAAACATATCACATATTTTTTTTTTTTTTTTTTTTTTTTTTTTTTTTTTTTTTTTTT